TGATTGTGCCATGTCTAAAAGCATTTGATAATTTGAAGTTGATTACAGTTGGGACGAAGTGTTAGCCTTCGTCTGGGAGACAGAAACCCTTTGTTCCCACACAGCAGATCCAGTGCTGGCAGCTATGGTAAAACAAGGGTTCCTTTCTGCTCATGAGAAAAAGCCAACTGGGTTTGAGAGCTTGTAATGTGGACAGTTGTCCACTTAAATATGGGGCTGACATCTTTCCCCTCTTTCCTACTTGAATTGTTTTTCATCTTAAGGAAATGGCACAGGACTGAAATTGGTGACTGTGGGGTCAGACTGATGTGGATAAGGCTCAGCTCGGTCACTCATCAAAACTTAAATCAACATGCTGTTGACTTCTGTGGGCATTTGGGTATCACTAGAGGCTTTGGGGATAAAGGGAGAATTGCCAGCAGATCAGTGAATGAGTGCTAAAAGAGGGAAGACAAAATAGTGAAACATTTTTCAGCTTTGTAAGAAGAGAGGAAATACGAAAAGGCATGGATTTAACACAGAGTGAAGATAGGGGAGAGGGTGAAGGTCAAGTACAGACCAGCAATAGACAGTGTGGATATTTTTGCCTCTTTTTTTTCAGTAAGGTTGAAATAGCTATTGGGAATCACCGAATGCAAATCACAAAGCTGGAAAGGGAATAAAACTGTGAGTTCAGTGCACTTGAGTCAAGCATAGGAAGCTGTGGGCTCAGTAGTGAGGAGTTCTAATAAACTGATCAAGTACAAATGTGGTATACATGACCGCAGAATACTCAGTGGGATAGGGATTCGAGTGGTATTCAGACTTAGTCTGAATTCAGTGGTGTGCAGGGGTTTTGAACTATTTCTGGCAAAGAATAATGGAAGAACTACAGATAAGTGGGAAAATGGGATAAAACATAGAAGTTACCAAAGAGCCAGTGAGCTTTGTACCTGTGTGTTTGTTAGATAAGAGAACTTGTTTTTCTAGACAAAGGCAATGCAGTGCATCAAATGTGGTTGGGCTCCAGTAAGGCATCAGATACAGTTCCTGTGGGAAATTAGTGGAGATGGGGATGCACTAATGTAGAGTAACTAGATGGCTACCATTAAAAAGGAGGCTACCATTATTTTTACTCAAGCATTCACCTTGGATAAGCCTAGTCTTGTTAAGTGTTTGCCTGAATTTCTTTTTGCTGGAAAATTTACAAGTTAACTGGTGATGTTTTGATATGCAGAACACGGAGGTACAGTTGGTATAGACAAGAAGCAGAAAGTCTTATCTTACAGGAAAGGCTGACTGACCACAAGCACTGGAGGAAGAATCAGTGGTCTTTAGAAGGACAAAGTGCAGAACCGTGCATCACACGAAGGGCTCAGTGGTTCAAAACAGAAGCATGAAGTGGTTTTTTTGGCTTGGGGGCATGGGGTGGGGGATGAAAAGCTTTGGGAATGATGAAATTAAGTCAGATGATGCCTCTTTTTTGCATAGCTAAATCTAGACTGTAACTTGGTGTAGGCCTTTATGCTGAGTCTGAAGGAACTGCAGGAGGAAACAGGTCCTGTTCACAAAGAATCTGCCTTTCTTCAGGGTACAATCTTGTTTTTCAGAAGTGGTCAGGCTTGTTTGCTTACTGTATTTCTTGGGACACTGACTGTCAATTTGTGGGTGTACATATGTAATCCTAGGTCAGAAGAATTATCGCTGTACCCTCTGCGACAAATCGTTCACCCAGAAGGCTCACCTGGAATCGCACATGGTCATCCACACGGGGGAGAAGAATCTGAAGTGCGATTACTGTGAAAAGCTATTCATGCGGAGGCAGGACCTCAAGCAGCATGTACTCACTCACACGCAGTAAGTGATCTCACAGGCTGTGTTGGCCTGGCCAGTGCAGTAAATAATGAAGCTGAACAGCCCAAGAGAGAATCTCCAGTTTGCAAATAGTTTGGCCTAGGGAGTATAGGTTCAACCTCTAAAAATGACAGAAAAGTCAATCTGGGCAAATTCCTTGTTATCAGCGGAAGTTGTCCTATTCTAGTGTTTGCAGTATTTTAATGACACAGTAAATTCCAGGCGTCCAAATTCACCTTGTCTTGTGAAATGGCATTCTGGAGTGTTTATCATTTTAAAGAGAGAGAGGGTTAGCTGATATACATTTAGTTCTCTGCTGAGAACTGTTTTCACGTCCCAACGTGACCACGAAAAATCTTAAACTCCTCAATGCTGTTCTCACAGAGTAGCTTGTTAGTGAAGTCTCCCTCTCTGTTTGCACCAGGGGTGGGGTGCAGCCATTCCCAGCTCTTATCTCCCCCCAGTCTCATTCATGCACTTGGTCTCCTGCTCCTCCTGCAGGGAGATGCCCACAGTCAGGGCAGATCCCCACCCCCAGGTCCTCCTCTAGTTATCTACAGGTCTCTCCCAGCCCCTCGGCTCCCTGCCAGGCCAGATCTTTCCTTCTGCTGTGGGAATCTCTCCATCCTGTTTAGTTACTCCTAATCCAAGGTCCTCCTTTAAAGCTGCTTGCCCAAAGCTAGTCCTTCTGCTTATTTCATTTTCAGCATCTGGTTCTTGTACTCACTTGGAATTGACTGCCACTTCTGTCATGCTGCCTAGGAGACAGCATAGTGCAGCTAGCGTGGGCAAGAGAGAGGCAGACAGGCTTGCTTTGTTGCTTGTTCTTACGGCCAGAGCGAGGAGCACTATTGCTGGGAGGTGTTTTGCACAGTCATCTACAGAATTTGACTGGTGCAGTCTGGTAAGCCTCTGCTTAGCATTTACAGACTGAGGGTTGTTAACACTTAGCAGCTTTGTTTTCTTTTTTGTTCTCCTCCTCCCCCACCCCCATTTATGCAAGGTGGGGAGGAAGGAGACTAACCTTTCCACCATGGCAACATCTCTGCCCTTGCCAAAACATGGAGTTAGTTTAACCAGAGTTTGGTCTTACTCAAAAAATAATAACAAACAAAACCCTTGTAGGATTCTTTCTTCATCAATTTATCATCAGGAAAGAAAAACGGTT